TGGAGCCGACGGAATTAAATCTGCCGTACGAGAAGCCGTGTTCAATAATAAGATTAATACCGCGATAGCCCAAGGTGACCTTGAGAGAGCGGCTCGTCTTACGGAACAGGCTCATCCTATGTGGACCGGTTCAGTGGCATACAGAGCTGTGATACCCACGGAGGTACTATTGAAGAGGGCCCCAGGTTTCAATCTCCAGTCGCACCGTTGTCCTACGATAGTGAGTTATACGCTTCTATGTCTGCAGGGTTGCTTACAGTGAATTGTTGAATAGTATTGCGGGAAGAACAAAGTATGGCACGCACCGTCTTCGGTAGCGGATACTTATCTGATGGAAGTCTATGTCAGCATCTCGTTGTGTACGCCGTATCCCAGGGCAAAGGAGTCAACGTTGTCGCTTTCTGTTCCCGTCCGGAGCTGGAAGGGACGCCGTTCGAGGGACCCATGGTGGCGATAGTTCCGCAAGCGGAGCTGTTAGCGGCGTTTATCGACTTTGAGAAGGATGCGCGAGATTTGCTTCTTGTAAATATGTCCTTCGTATTCCTGAATAATTCTCTTCTAATGCGCACGACATAGTGCATTGAGAATCCGTCAAGATGGGCTATCCACGCGATGAGGCCATTGGAGTCTTATATCTCGGACACAGGAAGAGTTGCCCTTATCGGTGATGCTGTGGGCTAATCCTTGGCATGCAGGGGATGAGTTAATTTAACGTAATTCGTTGCAGGCTCATGCAATGACGCCCCATCAAGGGAGCGGTGCCGGGCAAGCCATAGAGGTGAGCTCTCTGCAAAGGCGCTTCCAAGCGCTAAAGATATACCATAATTTCAGGACGCATATATCCTGTCGTCTCTTCTATCCCACCCAGAATGTACGCGGGAGACCCTGCCTGAAGCACTTCGGATCTACGAGGAGATTCGCCGCCCGTTCTCCCAGGGAGTCCTGGAAGACTCGAGGAAAGGCGGTCTGATGTATGAGTTCAACTGGCCGGGCTTCACAGACAGAGACATCATTCGTCGAAGCGGGACTGGTGAGGATCCCGTCGACAAAGAAGCGTTATCGGGCTTGGGGAAAAGTCTAGAGGAGCTGCACACCTGGGTTTGGAGCACGACTGTTGATGCAGACCGTGCGCATGCAGTCGATATGTTCCAGGAATACGTGGAACGCAAGAATGCATAGGAGAGATCGACTCTAGTTCGTGACTGTAGAACTTCTAACATAAAGTTTCTGAAACTGCGGAGGCATGAAACGATCACCCTATAGAAAAGCTCTGGCTCATGTGAGGTTGCGACCTCTAACAGAAGTTGTAGTTGCTGGAGACACCATTGGGGCAGAGAGTGATGGTAACTGGTGCGTCGATCAGGCGCAACTCTCGATGCTCTAGGACGACTAGACCTACCATCGGTATTATCACCACAAGAAACGTCAGGAGTGTGCCCGTAGCTGGATGTAGATATAAGTCCATGGATCCCAAGATTGACAGTGACAAAATGCTTACTTGGCGCAGTCGTCGTCGGGGAACGCGTATGCATTAGGACAAGCATCATGGTAAAAATTGCTGTAAACGCCGGGAGCGCCCTGACAAGCAGTGTGAGGACAACTAGACTATGCAGCAACATGGCCTATGTGCGCGACTTACGTAGGGATGATTGTAAGTAGGGTTGGAGTCGTACGGGCAGTTGTTCGTACCCAAGCACCCACTGGCCGATTCGCAACACGGCGCGTAGCATGAACCGTCCGGACCGGGCACGGGACACCCGCTATTGATGTTGCATTGGACACCAGGGCAGTTAGCATCGCCAGTATTAACTGAGTAATTGCAGAGTAAGTCTCATCCGATCCAGAAGAAGACAGGATCGCCTACTCTTAATAGCCCTGTTGTAACCATAGAGGGGAGATATATCGTAGTTGACGGTGTTCCCGACATATGTCGCCTCCGCGCGGATGAAGGGAGAAGCACCGCCGTTGTTGTTGACACCCCCGGTCGTGCAGGAGGTGGCTGAGTCGTCCGAGCACCCGGTGTACACATTGACCGCTACGCCAACGTTGTCCGGAGGCATGCTCAGGCTGGCACCGCTATGCGAGTTAACGCCAAACACTTGACTGAACCCTCCGTAGACTTCATGGAACCAAACGCGGTCACCCTATAGACAACAAGACTATAAGAGGAGTCTTCACCGAGACGAGCAATATTACTTACGCAGTTGTTCCACACACTGAGGGACTTAGCCTCAGCGGCAGGGGTGGAGACGATCGCAATCACAGCGAGAAGGAAAGAAGCTAGAATCAGCATACTAATGGTGCTTCGGATGCTGCTTTTGCCCGCATCCTTGGGCAGCCTTTATAAATTCTTATCAACCGCGCTCGGACGAGAATAGTCTGTTCCTCATCCGAAAAACTCAAGCGCTACCCGCGGCCATCACGACAGACATGAGCGATGGACGAGCCAGACTGGCCGCAGGTCAGGCCTACATCATGGGCGCGTGTGATATGAATCGGGTCCACTGTCAAGGAAGGCAGAAGAAAGGCACGGCCAAAAGTTTGTCCCTATCCGCAGCGTACACATAACAAGATCCCAGAGAGAGGATACGCACATTCACTCAGAGCCAACTACACTTGTTTAGTGCGATCTATCCGCTATAGTTGCGATCAAGTCGGGCTCTGGAGGGACAATCCTGCGTCTCGGACAGTAGCAGCAGCGCTTGGATATCACCAAGGTCCTCCTGGAATAGCGCTTGACAAGCACCTCCAGTGCATATCGACATTTGCTCAGCTGCACCAGAGAATAGTCCATGTACTGCAGGAAGACGTTTTCAGGGCGGTCGAGACCAGCATTGGTGAGTTGAGACGAGATCGCCAGTGACCTGTCATAACGACCCTCAGGAAAGATAGCGCAGCCCATCGAACATACGATGAAGGGCGGTATTGCAAGGCCTAATCAGCGCGGCGTCATCGACACCTCATGGGCAGAGATTCCAGACAGACCACGGGTTAAGCCGCAAACGCCCCGACGAAAAAGCCTTGAGGATGATGCGCTCATAAGCAAGCCGGAATTTTCACATTGTTACGAGACAGGTATGGTGATGTTAGATCGCAGTCAGGAGAGTGATCAAAACGACTGGAGGACGTGTACGCGGTTATGATGGCACTGATGAGACACAGCCACGCAGGCGTTGCGGAAATTCCCCGGCTGATGGGATTCAGAGGGAAGGTCCGTAGCTCTTTAGTCTTTTAGCGAATCCCTGCATGAGCGTAACAATCCGCATCAAGGACTTCAGCACAAGAACAAGCACAGTCAAAGCCGTAATGCAGGAGGCCAGATTCCGCTCGGCCTAAGGGAACCAGAGTCCTGGAAGATCAAGAAATTATTGCAGTCTCCAGGTCGTTAGATTGATCCAGCCTGTGTTCTCGGTCACACAGAATGTGCGCATCTTTCCCTGGATAGGAGCGCATATTTGATCTATGGGGATGTCGTTACACTTGGTCAGCACGGCGACGGAAGCAGACCTGCAGCATAGTCCCTTCCCGGCTTACCTGGACTAATCCGTGTTAACAGCCTTCCGCATAGTATCTCTCTTATACCCTCGCACTTCAGAACTCTGCAAAGCCGAACTGCCTTCATACCCCATCGCGTATCCCAGAGACTTCCCTCCCCACTCCAAATTCGGTTTCCAGAATGATGGAGGTGCTCTAGACTTCTGCTGACGCTTCCGTCTCGCACGTCGACTGCGATCGTGAGACGAGGTACCAGTAGTGATTTCAACTATCGGTGCCGCCTTGCCGACCCGCAACTCACGGGCCACCTCCGGGGCCACTGCGACAGAGTTGGGCCGAAGGGTCGGCGGCAGAGGCCATTGCCTTAGCCTCTGGAGAATCATCGCTGGTGGTGGCACAGGCAAAGACGCCTGCACCTCGATAAACTTCCTAGATTGACCTGAGGGTGCCTGAGGAAAGCGTATGACATGAAAGTATGCGGACGGCATGTGACTTGCAGACTCACAGCATATATCTCCTGCGAGTCCCGAATGATTTGTGCATAATCGACAGCCACTGCTGCACTTCGCTTTCTACGCTCTTCAGCTTCATCTTCGTCATCTTCCGAAGGTCTGTCCTTCACTATATATCTGCATTCCTTGGGTCTAAGACCAAGACTGCGATCTCACTGGAGTTACTCACTGGATGCTGTCCTCCTGTTTCGGCTCCAGAATAACAGGTCGAGGAGGAAGTGCACGGGATACCAAGCGAAATGCTAGATAGCATTTATCTTTCGAGACCGCGACTTGAGAAAAGGGTACTAACGCGCAGAGTGCTCAGATGCACTCGCCACATCTGACACCTCGGTCTCGATCTTCTGCCGTTTCCTGCTGCTCGAAGCAGAAGAGATGACTGCCTCCCCGAGCGACGACTTGATAAAAGCATCCAATTCCTCTATCTTCCTCTTTGAAGACTCTTCTGCGCTGTGCGATGGGTATGCGTCCGTATCAGATTCATAAAGATCGGCCCGCGAGACGTGAACTGTCGACTGATGTAGGCTAAATGGATTCGAAAAGCGAGGGATCATATCTGCCCTGTATGCGCCAGAACACCTGGAATTGCGCAATCAGGTAGGAGATAGAGACAGAGAGCAGCTAGAAACCAGAAGTCGACCCAGGCGCCTGTTCGGCCTGCGCGTCTTCGACGTAGAACGTGCAATCCTCCCAACAAAATGACGCCGCGGAAATCACCGGCATACCAAAGATGGAAGGTTGTGGCCATTTGCGCAGTAACTTCAGGGTGCAGGGCACAGTACTCCGTAGCAGAAGCTGTTAAGTAATATGGAGGCTTCGAGTCACGAGTCGCAATTTCGTTCCAAGTCAGACTTTGATTAGCAAAGAGTGAAGTTCAAGGCATTGATGGTTTCTGCACGGGCATAATGCTAGTTAGGGTATTGTGGACTTGGAATATTTACGACTTACGGTTCGTAATGGCGTGGCTGAAAAAAAAGAAGCCGAAACACAAGATGCTCTGAACACGAATCGAACCAACGACCAGCAGCCAGGCCTCCGAACCTGGAGAGACTAACCGCTACACCACCAGGGCTTTGGATCATGGACATTCTGAATATATATATTATCCATTACAGTGAGCATGCAGGGCCCCTGAGCGGGCGATTCTAATACAAAACATCCGTAAAAACTCTCATACAGTAATTGGAAGCCTATCTAGGTATGTTTCCAGGATCTACATAGACCGGGCATCTTAGGTATGCGCGTGCAGCGTCGCGGATTTTCGGTGGTGCTGCTAGCGGCTAGACGCCGCCATGCGAACTCGAAGTCGCGGCGGAGCCGCGAGGTAACTCGCTTACGTATGCCGGATCTTTCCGCGGCGTCACTTTGTTGGGAGGATTGCATTTCGTCTTCGACGTACACGTCCAGGAGATCTCGCTCGACGCGCCTTCTCTACCCCATGCACTTCATTACCGTTGCTTGCTCGTGCAGCAGCTCTGGATTCTGATCAGTCCTACTGGCTATCCAGCGTCTGACGTTTTCGTGAAGTAAAAATACCTTGCGTCTTTTCGGGTTCCATCTGCTTCAATACTGCTTGACGTCGTGCACCGACTATCGCCTCCTCAGTCTCATTACTGAAGAATCTTCCTTCCAAGTATACTGTGATCCATCGCTCTGCTCCGCTGCGTGCAGTGCACGTCTATGCATGGTGCTGAAATATTTGGACTCTCCTATCCTTGTGGCGGCCTTCCTCATAGAGGACGCGTGGACCGTGGCATCCGTTCTCATTGTTGTCGTCGCTTTTGTCGTCGCTTGCTCTCACTCCAAATCATGCGGGCTGGGGTTATTGTTTCACGAAGTTCATGTCCTCCCTTGATACCGCACAAATGTGGTGTACCAGGCTCTTGGTTCAATGGACGTTACTTGCTGACAATTACATCAATCTATCCTGGGCAACCTCGAGAGCCCTCGCTCTCACGTTCTCCATCTCACTGTCCACGGTAGCCAATCCAGAAGAGCCAGTGAAGCGAAAAGCAGCTCCACCATCATGCATCATGGCTCTTTAGGTCTTCCCATACCCTGTACAGAGTACAAGCGTTGCCCAACCCACGACGAAGCACTATTCCGAGGCTCGTCAACCTAGTTACTGGTCGATCACCCGACAACTGTGATGGAGCGATACATCGCAAACGTCGGTACAGGCGCATCTATTATTATACCGGTGCGAGTATCACTTGCTTGGCAAGCACGTCGTCTGTCTTTCTAAAGCTTTCTAATCCTCAGGCAGGTTCTTGCATCGTCTTCTGTCTCAACAGTCACCGAGTAGGCCTGAAGCCCTAGCAACGCCATCGACAGCCTGATAAATGCTGTCCTAGGATCATGAATCAAAGTCGTGCTTATGTCAAACATATCATGTCAGGTAGAGTCCCAATCTGCGAATGGCATGCTGAGGAGCGACGTATAAAAGGATCCATAGCGGTTCGATGCTACTCAGCAGCGCTCACACCCACCACAATAACTTGTCTTACAACCTCAACGCCTCTCTAACATGTCTCACGGAAAGCAGTTCACTCTCTTCACCCACAAGGTATGTAACTTCGCACAGCGACTGTCTCCATAACTGATCTTGTTCAACCCCTTCTAGGGTGGACCCAACGGATGGAAGGTCGCCTTCTTCCTGAGTGAGCTCGGCCTCACCTACGAGTCCATTTACTTGGACTTCAACACGTTGGAGCAAAAGTCACCTCCGCACACAAACTACAACCCGAACGGTCGTATCCCGACTATCATCGATCACAAGTACGTGCCATGAAAAGTGTAGCGCCTCATTACTGACTCCTCTTAAACTCACAGGAACAACGACTTCGTGCTCTGGGAGTCCAACGCCATCCTTACCTACCTTGCCGACAAGTACGATACTGAGCGCAAGTTCAGCACCGACGCCGAAGACGACAAGGTAAACTTCACCCGGGCCCGCTCATACTTATTCCCGTCTCACATCCTCGCAGTACAAGCAGCTCCAGTGGCTCATGTTCCAGGCTTCCGGGCAAGGCCCCTACTTCGGTCAGGCGGCCTGGTTCAGCTGGTACCACTCTGAGAAGTAAGCATTGCAGATTGGTTCATCTTTGGCAGCACACTCACGAATATTGCCACAGGATTCCATCCGCCGTTGAACGCTACCAGAACGAGATAAAGCGCGTCTTCAAGGTCCTTGACGGCGAGCTCGCCCAGCGGGAATGGCTCGTTGGTGGAAAGTACTCCATCGCGGACCTGGTATGTTCTACCGCTTTCTGGCTTGGAATGGCTCTGACACTGCATGTATGCAGTCGTTCATCTCCTGGACTACCTTTGGCACTGGCGCTTTGGCTCCTCCCGGGTACAATCCTGCTGAGGAGGTCCCGCACTTCTGGGCGTGGTTCCAGAAGATGCTCGCGAGGCCCGCCATCAAGAAGGTGAATGCTGACAAGGAGGCTGTTAACAAGCAGTAAGCGTTTATGCGAATAATGGATGACTATGTACGATAGCAGCGCGAATACTCTGCGCATCCTATGCAGAACGGCGCCCTTGTCCATATGTAAATCCATTCTATGTTTCATGATCATGAGAATGTCGAAGCATCATCCTAATTCGAAGTGTGACCGTCGAGTTCGAAGTTGAGGATTGAATGTTTGGCCGGAGTTCTCTCCGTCCCCAACCTGTTCTCTTCTGTTCTCTCCATACACATTGCTCCTCAGTCTCACAGTCTCCATGACCAGGGCAATTCTTTCCAGCCTGTCTAGCTCGACGCCCTCCCTCTGGTCTGCCGAGCGCTCTCTCATCATGTGCATGATCAGCGGTGTCTCTCAATGATCCCATAACGGAACCCTCCCGCAGCTCGCGTCGCCAGCCGATGACGGTCCCCTTACCCGACTATGGAGCTCGATAAAGGCATATCGCTCTTCCCGAACCCAAAGAACACGGCCCCAAGTCAGAGCGATCTCATTTTAGGACGCAGGAGCCCTGCGGTATCAGTACCCCGTCGCCGCATGTCTAGAAAGGTCGGAAGTTACCCAGTCTCTGGCATCTGCCCATACACCCCTGCCTCGTGGTACGCACTCATCATTCATCTCAGCGGGGGGCATCTAAGTAGCGCCAGCTAGCCCTATCCTATGCATACTCCCTAAACTCTAACCGCTTCCCTTTCCTGCCACCAGTCCAGCTTGAAATACTCTATCAAACCCCATCATGCCCCCGTTCGCCCGCTCGCAGAACCCTGTTATGCGCGTCTACGAGCGCCCGCTCTCCGGGGACAGCGGATCCGTGACGCCCCTGCTGTTCCCGATCGACTTCGCGGACGAGATCGTCGAGCACCCGCGCGCGCCCCAGCTCACGCACCGCCGATCGTCCGACGATTCCTTTGGGCCCGAGACACCGCCGGAGTGGATCGACGAAGTCTGGCAGAGCGTGAGGGAGGCGAAGGCGCGGGGGTTTAAGCATGCTGGCAAGCTGGAGGCGGCGGCTAGGAACCCGCAGCCGAGGCCGAAGCTCGTTAGAAGGAAGTCGATGTGAGTGTCTGTCTATGCAGTCAGATACGTGATGGATAGCTGAGGGAAGACGATGTTGGTCTCTAGCGCGGATTTCAAGGTGTCTGCTGATGGACGGACGGTGAGCGTGCCTGCCTCGAGGCTACCAAGCGATGTCGGGATCTGACCGCGAGGCCGCGGATAGGTCACAGCTGTCTTCGATCTTGCGGGTGTCAAGAAGGAGGACATGCATGTAAGCTTCCACTCAAAGCGGATAACCATCACCTGGAAAACAGTGACCGTCGACGAGTACGAAGAGGAGGGCACGATGGTCCGCGAACGGGAGGAGAAGCAGTTTAGTCGGACGATACCCCTGCCTGACGATACCAAGGTGCGGAACTTCCTTCTGTTTGACCTGTATGTTTGCGTATTAAAGGCTTGTAGTTTGAGGAAGTGAGAGCTATCAAGGAGGGCGGCAGGCTGGTCCTCCATTATCCGAACATGCGCTGCGTACGTGTGGATGGACACAAACGTCCCGTCCAGCACACGCAGCGAAGACATAGCAGCGAGTACGACCAGCATAAGGACCTCCAGGTATGATTTGCCAGACTCGGTGAATGACTGTATGCCTCTTGAGTAGTAAGCACCATGCCTGCTTCCATCCGGTTCTCGTTCTCTTCACCCTTATACTTCATGTACATATGTGCTTTCATTATGCTGTCAGTATGTATCTTCCAAGCGGTCTCTTGATCGGATTATGGAGACCATCCGAGAGTCCCCCCGATGCTCGGGGCATCTGTGTCCACTTGAAGCCCTTGATCTCACACAAGATGATGGACATCGAATCACCAAATATGCGTTCGTACGTGTACAGTCTAGTAATACAGTTGTTGCTTTACATTACATTGTTTTTCTTGACTAAGAAGGTCCGACTAGACGCGCTCGTCGCTGTGCATGGTGGTGGTCTGAGATGATGGCAGCGTCAGTAAAACTGGGCTTCAAACGTCGAGCAGAGAAGGCTACCCACATCAGCGTCACTAGAGATGGGGATGGTTCGGTTGGGGGGAGAGACAGACACGGCCGCTGAGGAGCGGGCGATGGCTGAAAGGTCAACACCTGCGCAAGAAACAACGGGTCAGGCGGAGCGGATATAGGAAAAGAGAGCACCATTACTGACCTCCCTTGGTTGCCTTCCTGCGGACCTCCCGAGCCTCAGCGAGCTCTTCCTCGCTCATGCCGCTCGGGCTCCTGTCAACAGCAGGTCGCTGCCTATCTTCGTGAACTAGGGTATAGTTAGCCAGACGCCCTACTCGACAATATATGCGGGTGCTCACCAGCACGGGCAATAGGCACGCCGTCCTGCTCCTCGTCGGCGAGCTCCTGCTCTTCGTCGGCAATGCCGGCAACCTCGTGATCCATCTCATGCCGGAGCGAGCCCCAGTTGTGAGGTCCAGCGCCTTGCTTCTTGGTAGAGTTGTCGTAGCCGTTCTTCGCCTCGGAGCGGTCCTTGTTGACGGCGGCGGGGTAGTTGGCGCGGGCGGTGCGGGTCATGGTGATAAGCGTATGTAGTGGTGGTTATGAGAGTACTAGC